ATATTGTAGGTATGGAGACTTTTGTTTCACGAACACTCTATGCAAATGGGAAATCAGTTAGGAAATTTCCGTTCAAAAAAAGAGATAAGATCGTGACGTCGTCATGAAACCCACTTCAGTTCAGTTTGATAGCACCTTCACAGACTGAATTTTACCGAAGAACTTATTAACGCGCCACATCCAAACGTTACCGGAAAGAAAGGTTGCGGGGGTTTCTGTCACAGAACTTTGAAAAAGTAGAGCCTGTGTCCTCTATGTTGCATTACACTCTCGAAATCCAGTATCTCGAATCGCGAAAGAATGTGCCTTTTTTAATCTATTACACATATGTGAAGGTCAAACTTGAGGCAATGAAAACCATTACATTTACACAACGGCGTGGCTATGATAAACTTATAAGGAATTCTCACCTCAATAAAATCCAGTACGGCTGCTGAGAGCTCCTTCAGTTGAGGAGTTTCAGCGACATTCTTTCCGCAGTTCGTGACGAGAATCACACCGTCATACACCGACTCGTTAACTCTTGCTGCCCGAAGAAGCGGTGTCGACAGTAAAGACTTCAACGACATGGTTACCTGAACGACTATTCAGTTAGTCAAGTGAGTACTTCCCTTGCCACGATAAGTAGTCGTGAAGTTGACATCTCAGCGATAAGCAGAGGCAATCCAAAAAACAAACAGAGTGAGAGCTGAGAAGGTATGCGACTCAAGATAAGAGGAACAGTGTGGTCGCATAATTTCAGGAATTTCGTAATGAAACCGAACTTATCTAAGGTCAAGCCCACGAAGAGGATCGGAACAAAAAACTGAGAGGTCAACGAAGCTAAAGGGACTGAAATAAGATCAATCCAGCGAACCTGATTGGATAGATCCTTCGGAAAGGCCCACAAAGAGAGCCATACCTAAACTCGAATTCATTCTTAAGAAAAGGTACAAAAAACCATCACTACCGGTGCTTTTCGACAGGTCATGTCCCACACGGTTCCACGTCACTCCTTGGTGGCAAAGGGTACTAAAAATGTAATTTTGAAACCAACATGGATCGCTAACTGCTAACGGGAGTAAAGGGAAGCCTTGAAAAACAGGTCGCACTGGAAGAAATAGATAAAGCCTTGGAGAAGCTAACAGTGCTATTGTTATCACGCATAGAACCAAAACGATGCCTTCATTGATATGGCGTCAGAATCACAGACAGGTGCAAAGGACATTCTGGAAAAGGTCTCCTACTATCAGTGCCGAACAAAATGTCATCGAGAAATAGCATTCCTCCAGTGGCATAACTTCTAAAGAATGCAATAGCCAAAGACAAATTCACGGAGAAAAGCACTCATGTCGTGAGATATGACCGATGGTCTGCAACTGCAATCAATCTCTCACGTTCGACGAACGGTTTTCGATACGATTTGACAGCCGAGGTCAAGCGCAGCGCATGGTCGATTCCAAAACTATTACGGGGTTCCATCCGGTAAGAGAGGTCATATGGTGCGAGAGCCACTATCGCCTACAGTACTTCTGTTTTGGCAAGAAAGGAGGGTAATTCTCAGGGTGCGGTTCACTAGGACGAAAGCGAACTTTTTCGCTTACGCAGCGCGCCAAGCGTTTTCCGGTACGGGAACTCTCAGGTGCGACCGGCCGATCGCACAGCGGAGTTGGACGCTCGAAGTTTCTCTTGCAGCGAAAACCATTCGGAGGACCCGAGATTCCCTGCATACGAGGCATGTTCGCAGCTGCGTAATTCGTCTAAACAGTTCGTTCTGTCCTAGTGAACCTACCCGAATCTCTCAGTTGCGTGTCTCGGTCGTCAGTGTCATTAGTGCTAAATGGTTTCGTATGGAAATAGTGCGCAGGCTGACACTTTCCAACGCCCTGCCCACGAAAATTTGCTTCAAAATTAACTGTCAGGCGCGGGTGACTCGGGACATGAGGAATTGTATTTTATCCTTCGAAATACAAACTTTGTTGTCACCCGCCATATTCACACTTATAACTAAGACCTCGTTTCCTCCGACCGCTTAGAAGCTCCAAAATCCGGCTATTCAACAAAGCAAGATACTTATCCCCGTCTTGAAATCCCATGGCCGTTGGTAACTTTCCCTGTGCCGCGACGGCAAAGGGTGTGGTGATTCTGAGACAAGAAGCGACTTTTTAACTTTTTGCAAAACGCGACTTTTCCTTGCAGGCCCAGGGTCAACCGTCCGTTGGACAAAGTCCAACGCGACGACGAGAGTAATGCCGAGAGTGAACGTACGCACGGAGACACAGACGGCTCGCGGGTGGCGAGAGTGAATGCCGGCGCGGAGAGCGGTGAACATCGGTCCAACGTCGCTCCAATATCGGTCCAACGTAACGGTTGACCCTGGCCCAACCCCCTTGATCAAAGTGGACTTGGGGTTACTGTAGCGAAAAAAGTTTTGCGCGCGCGATGGCGAAAAAGTCGCTTTGTGTCACAACCCACGGGCAATCGTAGATAGAGATATCTTTGGAAGTTGTCCAGGACAGGGTTTGAATTCCTCTCGCTGATGGTGGGCGACGAGGAATCCCTTGCGAGTGTACATATAGGGTTGTTTTGACGATATAAGTCTGTCTTCATTGTGCCAATTTTACTTAACCTACATAGGGACAATGACATTGAATGATCAGGCTTTTATCAAGACAATGCCAAATGGGAGACAGAACAGAAAAGTTACCAGGGTATTTCCTTCCCCGAACCCCTATGAGAGGGAATAAAATCCGGGACCCCCAGAACATGTAGCGACAGTAACCAAGCACAGATGCCACTTCCTTTCAACGTGCTTATGGAAACGCCGACTGTTCAACATGCAAAGTTTTTTGAACTGCAGCATCCTTTCGTTCTGTGAGTCACTCACTACGCTCGAAATGAAAAAATCCCCGAGCCGCTGTGCTATCTCGTTAGACACCCAAATACTATAAAATTTAATGGTCCAGCTGTTAAAGAAATTAGAACGAAAATCAATCATACCCATATCATACACGAGTATAAACAGAAGGTTGGCAAAAATTCGCCGAGTTGAAGGAAAAAAAAATATTTATACGCATGTGGGTCTATCAATAGGGGGGGGGGGGGGGGGGGGGGGGGGGGGGGGGGGGCTTGTAACTATCATCTGGGCCAGTTAGATCTACGAATTATATGAACAACTCTTAAAGCGGCCAATACCCAAATGAAGTCGTGTCGAGCGAACGAGTGTCTGTGAGAGCAATCGACGTATCACAGAGTTGCGCGCCTTGGCGCCTCTCGAAAATGAACACACACACACAATGGCACAAGGCCTCAAAAAGTGAGCTGATCACGGCTAACGTGAGCTGATGGACGAGATACCTCGCGCACACCCCATGACACTCAACGTGGATTACGACGTAGCGGTAAATCTGCTATTTTTAACCCTTTCGGCCCTGGCGGTGGCAATTGCCACCACCAAATTCAAATGCTTGCATTGCCGCTGAAACAGCATGGTTTTTCTAATCCTGCTAGAGGTTGCTTCAGTCAACCTTCCCCTTCCTAATTATGAGCTAAACCTGCCATTTCATTGTGTTGCTGTTAGTATTACAAGTATTTGTGTACAAGTGCAACAATGAATCGACGCTGGTCCCCGCAACCGGCCAAGTAAGTGTCACTTTTTCTTAAAATACTTGAAGTAGATCCATTCTTTTATCAAAATTATGGGTTATAATGTTGTGCAAGATTATAAACTTTTTCGGCATAACTATGAAATTTGGAATTGTTTCGACATAAGCTCAAAAACTAAGAAGGTGGGCCAATTTTCAAAGCTTCTTAGTTTCTTTGTTTGTGATCGAATAGCTTCCAAATTTCGCCATAATGATACCTATATGCTCACAAGTAATAAACAATAGCTAGAAGAAAAATTTCTCCACGGAAAAATTCAGGTCCGAAAGGGTTAAATTCGCGCGGGTTAGCAGGTCCATCAAGAAAGCAAGTTCAGACAACTCGTCCAGACATGCCCCACTCTTTCAAGGCTAAAGAGAGCGAGTTCTTGTTAAGGTCTTCATCGGCGGTTTGCTTTGCTCCTTTTCATTTTCAACCGGGTCGACATCCGCATTTTCGTTTTCGACCACTGTTACCCACCAATTCGATCTGGACTTGTTGCTTTTGAATGATTTTCAGAACAAAAGGCGTTCGCAGGGCTGCGCAGTGTTCATCCTTCAGCTTCCGTGTGACATTACTATCACCTGATTGCAGCGTAGGGGGCTCAATAGGTGAAATCAATGCTTGGATGCGATCAATACGTAAGTGTTGTACGGGACACTGGCTGTCAGTTGTCGACCACAGGAAAGAAAGGAAGGAGAAAAAGAGAAAAAGAAGAGAGAAGAAGATGTCCTTGGGACGATTCATTTACGTATAGCATAGAATACGGTATCAAATCGAGTATTAACGCTTTTTCCCACCACCTAATCATCTTCGGCATTTCAGGGATGAGGACTATCTTCGAAGTTTGTAAAAGAGATAGAGGAAAGTATTGAAACAAAAAAAAAACGCTCGGAATCAAATATTTGGTAAAATATGTGTGCGCAATAGGATCGTGGTCGTATTGAAGATGACCGATCATACAGACTGAACTAACAAATGCACTCCACCACTCTGGCGCCAATATCCAAGCTTTTCTTAGCACCTCACTCGACGATTTTGCTGTGCAGTCCTATAATAAGTCTTACCCTGGCCCACTCACCAATACAGACCAAAAAGGCGTCTGGAAGTGGAATCGCTTGCATTGTGCTGAGAACGATGGACTGCGGAAAACAACGCTTATCGATGCATCGGGCCATATGATTCATTTCAGATGCAATTATTTCTCTGCACTCTGATGAATCAATAAGCTCCAAATTCAATTTTATTCGAATGTTCAGAGGAGATGTGTGCTCACGGATAAAATGGAATCTGACGTTTGATAGGGTGTTTTTTAGAAACGAAGTATATAAACATGAAATCGAACTATATCATGTAATGTACACTGAAGTAAGAAAGAGCAGTGACAAGTTTCGCTGCCCACCACTCGCCCGGTCTGGGGGTCGAGTCATAGATCGATCTAGCCCAAAAAAGACGTTCGATGCTTCCTCCGCATTTCGGGAACAGTGCAATGATACGTACCAAATTATTGCTTGAGAATAAAAAAAATCGATTGCAATGCGTGAGCTGTTGATTAATCGTACAATAACATTCATAATGCCCCTATGGTGCCTGGCAAAACATAGCAAATGCATGGTACCACTCCAAACGGAATGCAATGCAACCATCTAAGCTCACACTTAATAGTCATACACATTTGGCCCCTGGTTGATTGCTAGCCACCAATCTCTGGTCCACAAACAAATGAACATCTATCTCTAAGTAACATTTCTGACGATGAAATTTCTGGAATTCTTGCACGCTAAAAATACCAACAGTAGGTGTAAAATAGGAAGCGAAACTAGCAAAAAAGAAGCTGAAGGATTCCTGCGGAAAGTTGAAACTCCAGATAAGGCCTCTGTCGACATTGTGGGAAGCTTGAACGTGGAAGGGCATGCTTGAAGACATGGCCTTTGGCTTCATGCCAAGCGCAATCAGAAGCCATCATGTTAATGGATTGCTACGTATAGTCGTAACTACAATACGCACTAATTTTTGTTCAATCGACGGTTTGCGACGGTCGGAAACCGTCGCAAACCGTCGGCTCGCCATAACTCTTTAAAAAATGGTTCGCTCGACCTGCAGTTTATACCATCTGATAGCTCTGCTCGAGATCTACAAGATGGTTAAATTCAATTTCTGAAAGAGCTCCATCTAGGATTGCGCCATGCACTCGACCTCCATCCCGAGAAGTAATGAATATACTTTGTATGTGATGCGCATATAAGTCCTCCTATGCAGCCTGATCATCCCACAGAAACATGGATCTCAACACCCTCAGAATACGCCACGTACCCAACCGGTCCACCATATGGTGAGATTGAATGAATGTTTTTTTTCGAATTTCACGATCTTTAATTCGTTCTAGAGCGCTAATTGGCTAACCGTGCGCTGATCAACCCATTCTTCCACTCCAAATGAGAATCTTCGAACAGTTTCCAGCAGTAGTAGTAGACCTATTATGTGACATTCCCCACATTTAGAGGAGATGATTTGCGGAAACCTGAGAAGATAGCCAGGAATCTCTCCACAGACGTAGACTCCAGTTACTTCTCTGTAAGATTGATGTAGAATATTTGGTCACGGGTAAGCGCTCCGTCCGTGGTGTGGCCCCAAACATCACTCTCCGTCATGCCCTAAAATGAAAATCAGAGTTTTTGCTCTTCCAGATGACTCTACAGAGCTGAGGGGTGCACCGTTCGATTTCCCATGAAAAATACTACCGAATGGTGTACAACTCAGGTTTCACACAAAACTTTGTTTTTCTCACTTTTTTGCTCCCCATTGCCGATCGTCCTCCCAGCCCTTGGCGCCACGTGCGATTTAGCGAGAAATTCTCTCCACCGACGTGGACTCCGGTCACTTGTCTGTAGGAAAGAGGTAGAATATTTGGTCACGGGTAAGCGCTCCGTCCGTGGTGTGGCCCCAAACATCACTCTCCGTCATGCCCTAAAATAAAAACCAGATTTTTTGGTCTTCCCAGGTGGCTCTACGGATCTGTGGTGTACACCGTTCGATTCTCCATGCAAAATGCTATCGAACGATATACATCTCAGTTCCCACTTGAAACTTTCGTTTTTCACCGTTTTCGGCCTTTTCCTTATCGCCGATCGCCTTCCTCAGCCCTGGCCACCCACGTGCTATTCACGTGCGCGGTGCGTGAGAGCTCACGTGACAGCCGATGGCCTTTCTCGGTAGCTGGCGGGCAGCCCGATCGATACACCGCTATGCGTGTCGAAAGTGCGTGGGAAAGTCACCACGCACCGCGCACGTGAATAGCACGTGGGTGGCCAGGGCTGAGGAAGGCGATCGGCGATAAGGAAAAGGCCGAAAACGGTGAAAAACGAAAGTTTCAAGTGGGAACTGAGATGTATATCGTTCGATAGCATTTTGCATGGAGAATCGAATGGTGTACACCACAGCTCCGTAGAGCCACCTGGAAGACCAAAAAATCTGGTTTTTATTTCAGGGCATGACGGAGAGCGATGTTTGAGGCCACACCAGGGAAGAAACACTCGCTCAAGCCCGAGTGTATCATCTTTTTCCAACATACAAGTAAACTTACTCTACGATAGGGAAGAGAGTTCGTCCCTCCCTTCTCGAATTTCCTCAAAACATCCCTTCGAAAATTGCGAAATGTCACAAAATGGATCTAGTGGCAGGTAAACTAGATGTTCTCCAAAAAGTGAGTTGTATACCGTTCGACAGTATTTGTTATGGGAATTGAATGGTGCACATCTCAGTCTTCTATGTTCATCTGGAGAACCAAAAAAATCTGATCATATCGCAAGGGCATGACGAGGTGTGATGTTTGGGGTCACACTACGGAAGGAAGACTCACCTGCCACCAAGGTTTCTATGTAATTCCTACAGACAAGTAACCGTAGTCTACGCCAGTAAAGGAAATTCGTCGCTGCCTTCACAGCTTTCTACATAACATCTGCTCTAAACATGGAACAAAAAAAAGTTGAAGTTGTCGCAAAAAATGGGGCGAGGTGTGATGTTGGGGCCCCACTACGAGAATGAATGTCATATTCGTAATCAGGGCATCGAATTACCCCAATAGGCAAAGTTTCGACGAAAAATGAAACTTTGAGATTTTGGGGCAGTAATAGTGGAATAATGATGCCCAATCGGCAATAGGGGAAGGCTGAAAACGGTGAAAAACCAAAGTTTCAACTGGGAGGAGTAATGCATATCATTCGATAGCATTTTTCACGGGGAATCCAATGGGGCACATCTCAGGTCTGCGAGTTCATCTGGAAATGCAAAAAATCTGATTTTTATTTTAGGGCATGACGGAGAGTGATGTTTGGGGCCACACCACGGACGGAGCGCTTACCCGTGACCAAATATTCTACATCAATCCTACAGAGAAGTAACTGGAGTCTACGTCAGTGGAGAGATTCCTGGCTATCTTCTCAGGTTTCCGCAAATCATCTCCTCTAAATGTGGGGAATGTCACATAATAGGTCTACTACTACTGCTGGAAACTGTTCGAAGATTCTCATTTGGAGTGGAAGAATGGGTTGATCAGCGCACGGTTAGCCAATTAGCGCTCTAGAACGAATTAAAGATCGTGAAATTCGAAAAAAAAACATTCATTCAATCTCACCATATGGTGGACCGGTTGGGTACGTGGCGTATTCTGAGGGTGTTGAGATCCATGTTTCTGTGGGATGATCAGGCTGCATAGGAGGACTTATATGCGCATCACATACAAAGTATATTCATTACTTCTCGGGATGGAGGTCGAGTGCATGGCGCAATCCTAGATGGAGCTCTTTCAGAAATTGAATTTAACCATCTTGTAGATCTCGAGCAGAGCTATCAGATGGTATAAACTGCAGGTCGAGCGAACCATTTTTTAAAGAGTTATGGCGAGCCGACGGTTTGCGACGGTTTCCGACCGTCGCAAACCGTCGATTGAACAAAAATTAGTAGCGGTATTGTACTGCACGTCCGCATTCAAAAATAAAAAAACGTGTAATGAGCTTACAGCTCTGCGCTTTCTCGATTAGGTAGCGTCTTATGGCTATTGTGACCTCACGCACTTTAAAGTTACGACATTGTCAGTGGCTTACAGTCTTGAGTCCCTCTGAGGTTTAAGCTTTGATCCTTGCTCTCCCATCTTATGTTCAAAAGCAGTCAGCCGTGCTTCCATCTGTTAGCGCCCCTCGACTTTTGCAAGAAAGAAACTGGGAAGATCAACCAGTCACGCAACCCACGTTTTGTACTTTTTTGTTTTGGATGCTGACAATGAGTTCTGCCGCCGTAATTTATGCGTCTACGCCCCCCATGCTTTAGGGGCAGGCGCATGACAGGAAGTTTCCATATCGTCAAAGTGGACGTCATATGTCCGCTACTTAGAATTACTATTTAGAAGAAGGGCTGACCATCCGTCTGGCCCTATCAGACGAGGAAGCCGTTTTTGATCTGGCGAAACAATGTGGCAAAAGGAGCTGGGATTTGGAAGACACAGGAAGATGAAAATTTTTCTGGAAGGTGGGAATTTTATGAAATTTCGAGAAACTTTGACAGATCTAGCGTTCATTCCAACTCCTATATGCACCAAACTGAACGGACTCAGATTGAGCTAGATTAGACATCCTATCGAGACCATCAACCATAGGAGGCGAGGCTGATCATATCTGAGAAAGCAGCCATAAGTCAACTCATGACCCTGGCCAGAAGCTTTACGGGAGAGGACGGCAGAGCAGAGCAATAAGAGCAGGGAGATGATGTCGGATTTCACGGAGAAGCGTGGGTACCGTCGGCGAGTGGTTTCGTACACAGGCAGCGATTATTTACTGATATGGTGTGACGCCCGACTATCGGTGCCAGACACATCGCAAATCATGCTTAATGCGCCATTAGCAAGCATGGATTATTTATGATAAGGCGGCGAGCGTCACAGCTCTCCGCACACGATAGCAACAACGACGAATTTTTCGTTCAGCAAGGACGAAGACAGATGGATGTCGCCTACAACTCTCTCGATCACATGGCAGTGCAATTGGCAATCCCTGAGCAGGCAATCAGCAAACGTCCGTCTCCCTGTTCCTGAGTAGCGCGAAATGAGCGCGCCACTTCCAGGGATAAACACTTCAATGCCTTATGCAAGTTCAGCGTAGTTCACCGACATATTAGAATTCATAACTGTAAAAAG